TTCGAAATATAAGTTATTTTATTGAGTTTATAACCATATGACATAATTTTATCATAAATCACAATATAGTTCACAAATCATGGGCAAGGTGATCAATAGTTTCACTGTTTTTTTCACAATTTACTAAAAATCTGGAAATAAATTGTTAGAATTTACATAGTGTGTACATGTATATGGAATTTTTTTGTTATATTTTGCTTTACTTCCTCAGTTATGAATTTTACTAACACTTTAAAAAAGAGAACCCAGCATGACCGCTATATGCTTACATCAAGTTCCTGAAATAATGCAATTCGTACCATAAGCACTCATTATACATTATTTTGGAAATGCAAAATACCTGGCAATTTTAGTACTTGTATTTGACCTTGTTCAAGACACTTAATTCACATATAATACTAACTGAGGAAATAAAATGTATTATTATTTGCAGGGAGTGATTGAACAGTTAAGTACCAGGAATATGTCAAACAAGGAACAATACCAGAGTGACGTCAGTCTGCATACTGATGAACCATACCAATGTACATACTGTGACAAGTGTTTTACTGTGAAAGCCGTACTGAAAAGACACATGCGAGTGCATACTGGTGAGCAACCATACCATCGTAAAGTTTGTGACAAGCGTTTTATGCAGAAAGTCCACCTGAAAACACACATGAGAGTGCATACAGGTGAGCAACCATACCAATGTAAAGAATGCAACAAGTGTTTTACCAAGAAAGGCTACCTGAAAACACACATGAGAGTGCATACTGGTGAGCAACCATATCAATGTAAAGAATGCAACAAGTGTTTTACCAAGAAAGGCTACCTGAAAATACACATGAGAGTGCATACTGGTGAGAAACCATACCAATGTAAAGAATGCAACAAGCATTTTACGCGGAAAAGCTACCTGAAAACACACATGAGAGTGCATACTGGTGAGCAACCATATCAATGTAAAGAATGCAACAAGTGTTTTACCCAGAAAGGCACTCTGAAAACACACATGAGAGTGCATACAGATGAGCAGCCGTACCAATGTAAAGAATGCAACAAGTGTTTTACCATGCAAAGCAGTCTGAAAACACACATGAGAGTGCATACTGGTGAGCAACCATACCAATGTAAAG